GGGTTTTTTTAGAGGATTTTCTAATTTAACATGTAATTCGTTAGAAACTGGAGACTCTTGATATCTATTGTCATTTCTGATAGTTAAAATACAATTTAATTTGCTTTTTTTTAGTATATTTTCCTATGCAATTTGATATCCAACCGAGAATTCAATTTGGGGTTTTTCATTTATACTGTTGTTTTTTTTAATTTGTAATCTTGAACGTTCTTTTAATTTTTAGGTCCTGAACCAGATGCATGAGTAAGAATAATCTTGTTATTTTTAAATTTTTGATAAGTAGTGATCCTTTTTCCTCTCTTTTCATTGATCTATTTATTGTATAATCGTTAATTTCAATACACACACTAGTTGTATCCTAGTACCCTAGCTTTTACAAATTTGCCGCGTCCTGTACCCATATTTGTACCTATATGTGATCCACATATATTTGATTCTCTTCTTGCTGCATATATGATCGGCCTATATGTTCTGTTACATTCTAAAGGTCTGATGTAGTTATATATGTAGAAGCAAAGTTAGTGTACCTTATTGTTTCATCCTAACGATATAGCTGCTATTTTATGCAGTATTTGGGTTGCTAGAAAGCCACCTGGTTATGCTTTTATTGATTTTGATGATCGCCGAGATGCTCAAGATGCAATCCGTGACTTGGATGGTATGTATAATTTTCTATTTTGTACAGTTTATGCGCATTTATCAAACTCAGGAATTTCTTTAGCACGCGAGATTCTAACCCTCTAGAGCCAATTTGTTGAGTTCTGTGTCCTTCTCGCAGATATGTGACATACATTATGAATATACTATTAATTCTGTGTGTTAATTGCGTCTGATAAAATCATGTTACAATCTTTAAGATACATAGTAATTGGGTGACCGAGTCAAAATTTTTAAGTGATGAAAGGGTGTGTCTGTGTCTTGTGTGAGTACTGTTAATTGCCTATCTATATTTTATCTTGCAACAATCCAAGAAAACCTAAGTTACAAAAGATCTTGTTTGTGTTTGTTAAAGGTAAACATGGCTGGAGGGTCGAGCTTTCCCACAACTCTAGAGGCAGTGGTGGAGGTCGGGGCCTCGGGAGCGGCGGCGGCGGGGTGGCGTCGTTGAACGTGGTGGTGGTGGAGGAGGTTCTGATTTGAAGTGTTACGAGTGTGGTGAACCTGGTCATTTTGCTCGTGAATGCCGTTTGCGCATTGGATCTGGAGGGCTTGGCAGTGGCCGCCGGCGCAGTCGAACTCCTCCCAGATATCGCAGGAGTCCGAGTTATGGTCGAAGGTAAGTTACTTTAGCATGATTATCACCTATTGCAATTAATAAACTTCTTTTCTATTGCGAAGCAGAAGAATTTGGATTTAGCATGTATTGCATGTTTGGTAGTCAGAAAAAACTTACCTGTCCAGGAGGAGATTTATATTAATTGCTAATTTGATAAAAACACAGAAATAAGTTTTCTAATAGGATTATGATTATAGTTGACTGACCTTGTAAAAATTTGAAATCTGTCTTCTTTTCTAATGATTTCAAGTACTTGTAACTATTTATCTGGTGGAGTGGCTCAAATAAAATAAGGACAGGGTGAGTACTTACTTTTGATGGAAGGGTTAAGCGTGGAGGATAAAGTAATAACAAGATACGATAGATACTTCTTTTAGACAAGAACCCTTATAAAGAGCTGAATAGTACCTGTATTTTACTATGATCAGTTTTCTGTGCTTGTATTTTCTTCTGTGCAAAACAGTTCCTGTATTTTACTATGATCAGTTTTCTGTGCTTGTATTTTCTTCTGTGCAAAACAGTTCCTGTATTTTACTATGATCAGTTTTCTGTGCTTGTATTTTCTTCTGTGCAAAACAGTTCCTGTATTTTACTCTGAACTGTCGTTTATGCTTGATTTTATTTTGGTTGACTATAACATTTAAATTTCTCTTGAATTGTTGCCTTCATCTTTTTATTTTATTTTATTTTTTATTTTTTTATTTTTTGCATTCATAAAAACATATAACCTCAAGAGTAGCAATTCATTTATGTCATTGTTAGCAACACATTGTCAAATGAGCTTGTTAATAATTTCAGGTTCTGTAAGATTAATGTGCTAAATATTTCTGTGAGGGTATCATGTTTAAGCTTTACTCCTTGATTGTAAACAAAAATGGAGATGTATTCAAAGGGATGCTGGAATGTCTTGCAACTGTCACATCATAAAATAGCAGCTACAGTTAGGCCCTTTTTTAAATATAATTTTGCATTTATACAAACATCTTCTCCCAGCGATGCAAGTCCCTAAAACTAGGTCGCTTTCATTTTCTTCGCTTTGCATGATCAATTATGTACTTCTCTTTCCGTGATCGATTATGTACTGTTATACTATTTGTTTCTTTGATATTCATCTCACTGAATGATGTTAGTCTTACATTTCATGAAATATCTAACCGGTTCATGAGCAGGAGCTTGAGTCCTCGTGACCGGTCACCAAGGCGTCGCAGTGTTTCACCTACTCGGGGTCGCAATCGCAGTTACAGCAGATCACCACCTCACAAGCGTGGCCGTGATGAATCACCCACTTACAAGCGTGCTCGTGATGAATCACCCACTTACAAGCGTGGACGTGATGAATCACCTACTTACAAGCGTGGACGTGATGAATCACCTACTTACAAGCGTGAACGTGATGAATCACCTACTTATGCTAACGGGTAAAGCTACATCTAGTCTCTTGAGATACCTCTTTTTCATTTTGCTGCAACTAACCAGTGTTTGGTAATTATCGTCCAGGGATGGTGCCAAAGAAAGGGCACGCAGCAGGAGCTGAGGATATGGGGACAATCACCTGTTGTTTATGTGATAGCTTTCAACTTTGGTTTGGTTCGTCCGTACTAGTGTTTTAAAAAGAGCGACGCTCTCTTCAATGCTTCTGCTTGGATTTTGAACATAAGGTTCCTCCAATTTTATTTGCTTTGACATACCTCAACTCTATATATTAGTATATCTTAAGACAATGGGATTTAGCTCTAAGTTGGTTTTCTTTTGTGTTGTTGGAGGCTTCGTCCTGCTTTAACAAGTTTGTTCTCGGCGTGCAATTGGTTTCATTCTTCTTCGCACTCTCCCTAGACTTCTATCGTCTTTCTTCTTGCGAGAATGTTTACGTGGTTTAACTACCTTCTTGTTTTCTAAGAGCTGGAAGTAAAGATGATCCGTGCTTCAAAGCTAGCAGGTAAATCCAAGCAGTTTTCTATTCAATAAGACTGCTCAGTCTTACCTTTTAAGAGTTACAGGGCTTAGTCCTCCACACATTGCTGTCATGGCTATGTTTGTTATGCACCCGCTACACTTCTGCCATCTTCCTTGCTTCTTTCATGAGATGCTGGCGTCAATATACTTCTGATTCGGCATACTTCGTTTCGCTCTTCTCTCCGCCCACCTATTTTCTTTCGTACGTTGCTTTTGAATTTTGGAAATGAGGGCCCATTCTTCGAGCTTAAAGAGGTAATTCCGTGCTGTTTTCTGAAACAATTACCTTTTAGTCTTACCATTTAAGAGTTACAGGCCCACGGATACCTTGCCGGTTCACTTCCGTGTCTACAGACACACCTGTTTGAATCCCATGATTTCCCACAAGAAAAGTTGGTTCTTTTGAAAGCTTCAATGGGTACGTCATGAAAAACCTGCAATGTCATGCGCCTATGTTAAATCACTTCCATCAATTGAGCTTGAACCTTCGAGTGCCAACGTGAATGACATTTGTGCTTCTCGCTTGAGATGCTGCCCCTACTACACTTCTACTACTTTGGCAAATTTTGGTTTCGTTCTTCTCTCCACTCCCTATGATTTCCCCTTGCAGCTTGCGTTTGAAAGTCGGGACTGGGGGGGAAACGAAGATTCTTCAAAGTTAGCAGGTAAAGCCAGTCTTTTGCTGAAGGGTTTTTTTTTAATATAATTTTTTTTATTTTTATTTTTATTTTTTTAACAAACCCAAAGTTTTAACCCAATTATTAAACCTAGCCACTTCCAAGATCATTTCAAAACCAAAAATACCCATGCTGAATTATTTTTACATCCCATTTCTGCATTTCATCAGTTCTGTATTTGGTAATTTTAGAAAGACGTAGCAACTTAGCCCAAACATAGCACAGCTCAAACATAAATTAGCAAATTAGATTGAGATAACAACATAACACTAACTGATGAAATACAGACTTTGAATCCATAAATAATTTAGTTAGGTATATTGAATCATATTGAGAGTGGCTGGGTTTGGAATTCATTCAGGGTAAAAGTTTGGGATTTATAAACCAGAAACCCTTTTCTGAAACAATTTAGCTGTTTAGTCTTTTCTACCTTCTCGAGAGTCAGAGGCTGGATACTTCACTGATTGGCTTCTGCCTCTACAGCTGCTTGAACCCCATTAGTTTTTGCGAGAAAAGTCGGGCGATTGTGGTAGCTTGATATTAGTTCGAGGCATACTGCTGCATGTACAGTTAAAGACGGGTTAATTGCTTAGCTTCTATGGCTTGCTGTATGCAGTATTGATATCGTGCTCGAAACTCCCAAACATGCAATTGTGAATATTTACTGTTCTCTGTGTGATAGCCGATAGGCGAGGGAAACTGAAGCTATTAGCTCGCTGACTTTTTTTCGGGTTTTAATGTCTCGTGTAACACTCCCCAGGAAGAGCCTCTTGACCGAGAGGATGGGCTGATGTTGCTTTGCTTTTGCTGGCGCTTTGTGTGTGATATTATTTTGTACTGAAGTAAGGGCTGGTTTCGGAATGACCATTTGCGTGGTTTGATTGTTCGTAGAGATTTGAGTATTGGATTCCACCTCAAATTGAACTCCGCGAAACGTGTTAGAGATCTCTTACAAGAACTTGCGCTTCAACTCACGACAAACGAAAGACAAAAGGGAAAAAGAAGAAGAAGAAGAAGAAGAGGGAACGCTATCATATTTCGTTGTTATCAAAAGCAAACCGAAACGGCTTCACTATTTTAAAATCTAAACGGTGCACAAAGTACCATACGCGCCATTTTCATTAGGGATACGCAGCTGCAAAACAGGAGAAGTTTCTTGTCCAGACAAGCTAAATTTTGCAGCTTTTTACAAATGTTATGTACAATATCACCAATATAGAATACAAAAAAAAAAGTTATCGATAACAAATATTTTGAGTAAAGCCAAAGAGTCCAAATTTTGCCTTCAGGAGTCCTACTTGTTAATATCGTAGAACTCAATGTTCTTGTATTTTTGGGAAATGATCTCAGCTTGAACTTTTCTTGCCGTGTCGGTGGCGCACCCGACAAGGATGAGAACAGAGGTTCCGGCGAATCCACGGAACGCAGTGAGGTGTGTAACTTGTTCGACCACCGCTGGACCTGCCGCCAGTACGGCCAAGAAGGCTGAACCAAGAACCGATATCCTACTAAGGACCTGCGACACCCATATATCATATCCCATAAAATAAAAAGCTTTAACAGAGATTTCCGATTGAGCCGGGTAATAAATGAATTTCAGAGAATCTATAAAAATAAGGGTCAAGTGCACTTAAGACCTCCGTGTTTAACACGTTTGAACTTAACAGCTCCATTCTTGGCAGGTGTATTGACTACAGAGGGTAAAAGCTTTCAGCGAGGGGTCTATCCGTCAAAAACGAAACATAAGTTGGGAAAACGTCCTACTACAGGGGGTTCTATATGCAATTAATTAACCCTATAAACAGAGAACTACCTGGACTTTCTTTGTTCGGGAGTTTAATTAAATCCAACAGCACTTAGAAAGGGTATGTGTCTAAAACTAGTGTTCAGCAAAAAGGATATGGAATAAAAGCGTATGTGTCTAAAACTAGTGTTCTGTATGAAACTTAATACGCGAAATTTGAAATAAAATGACGTAAACTGCTAAGCTGATGATTTACTCACAGTTTTAATAAAAGCTGCAGTGCTCTTCCCAGGGCGAACAAGTGGAATTGAAGCACCTTGGCGCTTCAACTGTTCACTTACATCATCAGGATCCAATTGTAGAAAAGTATAATAGTAATTGAAGAATGCGATCAGCATTATATTGGTTGGGAGGTACAAAGCACCTATAGGAAAAATAGCCAGTCGGCCCATCATAAACTGAAAGAATCCTTGAAATGAAATTTATCAGTTTGCTCCTTCCAAAATTATGACTATATAATATCATGCTACTGATCAATGTTTTCTTCACTTGGTGATCCTTTTACCAGAAAATTGGCCAGGTAATGAAGAGATTAACTACCTCCAGGGTTCAATGCAACTGCAGCATTTTTTAGAGCAGCTAAGCCAGTGAAGCGTGCCAGAGTACCAGGCAAAGCTAGTGAAGATGTCGAAAATATAATGGGCATCACCCCAGAACTGTTCACCTGCTCGGTCAGATAATTAAGACTATTAGAAAACTTACAAAAAACTTTATCTAGATACATTGTTTACAAAATTCCAAAGAATGTTAAGGTCTGAAGTTCAAGTTCGAACTGAATTTTCGAGATAAAACCTTTACATGAATACATCACCACTAACATTAAAAAAAACGATGTAAATAAAGGCAAATTATAAATTCTTCAAACTTTCATCAGGCAGTTTTATAGAAGCAAACGAGGGATAACAATCTTAATGCACCAACTAAAAATTCTATTAGATCAAGTAAAAGCACTAATGTAAATTACAGCAAGTTACATACCTTGAAAGGAAGGTATGCAGATTTTCCAAGCCCCCCGCTTCTACTACTGTATCTTGATGCATAGTTAAGTGGTATTTTTCTCTCGGCTTCCTGAAACCCTTTGTCAGGGTTCTTATTAGCACATGATAACAAATTAAATTTTAGGGTTAATTGCAGATCGACCCCCTGTAGTGTCACTGTTTTGCACTTAAAACCTTTCAAGTTTATATTTGCAGATAGAACCCCTGAGTGAAGTCTACAAGGGTTGTAAGCGCAAAACTAGAAGGGTTTGCAGATAGACTCTTCACTCAAGGGCTCATCTGTAAATATAAAACTAGAAGGGTTGTAAGCGCAAACAACGATATTATAGGGGGTCCAACTGCAATTAACCGTAAATTTTAAGAACAGGAAGAAGAATGCTTGCTTACCTGGACATATACAATGCCAAGAACCAGTAGAAAAAATGACAAGACGATGGTAGCAAGTCCGACATAGTTCCCTTCTTGAAAAGCTTCTGCAACTGTTCTTCCAAATGATGCAGGCAAGTATGATAGAATGCTCGTGAATATCAATAGCGATGTCCCGTTTCCGAGTTTCAGGTCAGATATTCTTTCCCCGATATAAGTAGTGAATACCGAACCGAGAGTTAATAATGTGACTGATGACAGTGCCCATTCTGTACTGAAATCAGTGACATATGGTCGGAGGAAAAGCACTTGCCCGATAGCCTTGCACATAACAAAAGAATGTATCATAATTAAGAAAATGCAGAATCCCATAAAGATTATTCAGAAATTGAATGCAAGTTTAGTATTTTATTTAGGATTAATTGTGCATTTGTGCATATGCCCTTGTAGTGTAGTCATTGTTTGAACTAACTACCCCTGTAGTCTTATTCTTTGAACTAACTACCCCTGTACTCTCATTGTTGTAGATAGACCCCCTGGGTTATCATTTTATTCTTTTATCCTAAGATGGACTCACTAATTTCACCTAGGGGCAATATCTGCCAAAATTTCACAGAGGGTAAAGGTGTAAAATATCTAACGCAGAGGTTCCATCCGCAACAGTGATCTACAAGGTCAGTTAGATCAAAATGGCAATACTACACACTGAACAAGCAAAAAAGAAGCACTCCGAAAAGAAAAAGTAACTATTAAATATTGTAACTCCAATTCAACCAATTAGCGTAAAGCTCCAATGATCTTACCTGCACTATAGCAAAACCTACTGAAGCATAGCGTGTATATTGAAGAATCTTCTTCCTTCCCGCTTCCCCCTCTCTCTTCTGAAGATCTTGCAGCTTGGGATAAAGCTGAGTAAGTAGCTGGAACACAATAGATGCATTTATAAAAGGGACAATTCCCAGCGAGCAGATTCCAAGCCTACCAATGCCACCACCAGAAAATGAATCTAAAGTACTCAACAGACTGTTTGAGTCCAAATTACCAACAAAAGCATCTCGGTTTACACCTCCTAAAGGAATGTATATCCCAAGCCTGGATAATGCTAAGTAACCTAAGAGTTTCAGGAATTTTCCTGGAAGCGGACCTTTAAAAAAATCGCCAAATTCAATGGAGCTATCTTCGATTGAAGCTGCAAAGATAAGAAAACCAGTCAGGGGAGACAGCTGCTTTTTAAGTCTAAAAGCTTATAATAAGAGTAGTAGAGCCAAATAGATAATAGTCATACCCGCCACCCCCCACCCCTTTTTTTTTTTGGTTCAGCATGAGTATTTCCATTTTAAGAGTTAGGACATGGCTGCTTCTCCTACTGGGTTATACTTTGGAGAGGTACATATGCATATGAAAAACCCAAACATAAAATATGAACAAGCAAATGTAGTCCCTGTAACTAGTCTTTGTATATTTCTTTCCCCCTAGCTTGTAGTGTGAATATGAATTATCTGGTTTTAATTAAATTCACCATGAGATTACAAAAGACCAAAAATATACAAATTCAAAGTAAGCATGAGCTTTTTCTTACTAAAACCTGAATTATACCGAAACGACTTAACATCCCCAAACACAGTCTCTAATAAGTAAACATTTTTCTATTTTACTAGGAGCATCAGCATAAACATAGTGCTCAAACATCAGAAAAAACCATCAATTTGGATAGAAAGGATTCATGATCCTTCCCTCACATTTAATCAAGTGATGTCTTACGTAATATTACTTATTTACACATGTATACTATTCAGGACTTAGCATCAAACAACAAATGCTGCACTAACCTGCGAGCCCTCGGGTTGAAGGCTTCTCCTTTCTCGTGCTCGATGTACTTTGAAATGTATCAGAAAAGAATCCTACAACACTATCCCAAGCACCAGTAAGACCTGAAGACGTCTCTGAGTTAAAACCCAATGGATCAAAAGCAGATCCATCAACGTGTTGACTGTGCCTGCAAAAGGCACTACTTAGGCAACCAAAATAAACCATCACTATGCAAACCCCCCCTCTGAAGGTGCAATTGCCTATTATTAGAGATCAATTTGCAAAGAAAAATACCACCATCAAGTTTGAACTTCCAAATAATTATGTTTGTCCGATAAAAGAAGTTGGAAGGATGCATATCTCGATAACCATTACTAAATTCAGGCGAGAAGTCTTCTTTGTATAATTGCACTGAAGATTTAGTATTTGATTTTTTATTGAAGGAAGAGATGTTGTTTTCTTTGTAATATTATCAACAACAATACAAATATGTGTAACCGCCCAAGGCCAAAAAAAAAAAGACAAAATCTAGAGTGAAGAATGGGCAAATGGCTATAACTTATTTCTTAGTAGGGAAAAGTGCAGACAAGAGGAAGTATTACTCAGTATGATTATAATTGCACTGAAGATTTAGTATTTGATTTTTTATTGAAGGAAGAGATGTTGTTTTCTTTGTAATATTATCAACAACAATACAAATATGTGTAACCGCCCAAGGCCAAAAAAAAAAAAGAAAAAATCTAGAGTGAAGAATGGGCAAATGGCTATAACTTATTTCTTAGTAGGGAAAAGTGCAGACAAGAGGAAGTATTACTCAGTATGATTATAATTGCACTGAAGATTTAGTATTTGATTTTTTATTGAAGGAAGAGATGTTGTTTTCTTTGTAATATTATCAACAACAATACAAATATGTGTAACCGCCCAAGGCCAAAAAAAAAAAAGACAAAATCTAGAGTGAAGAATGGGCAAATGGCTATAACTTATTTCTTAGTAGGGAAAAGTGCAGACAAGAGGAAGTATTACTCAGTATGATTATAATTGCACTGAAGATTTAGTATTTGATTTTTTATTGAAGGAAGAGATGTTGTTTTCTTTGTAATATTATCAACAACAATACAAATATGTGTAACCGCCCAAGGCCAAAAAAAAAAAGACAAAATCTAGAGTGAAGAATGGGCAAATGGCTGTTTGAGTCCAAATTACCAACAAAAGCATCTCGGTTTACACCTCCTAAAGGAATGTATATCCCAAGCCTGGATAATGCTAAGTAACCTAAGAGTTTCAGGAATTTTCCTGGAAGCGGACCTTTAAAAAAATCGCCAAATTCAATGGAGCTATCTTCGATTGAAGCTGCAAAGATAAGAAAACCAGTCAGGGGAGACAGCTGCTTTTTAAGTCTAAAAGCTTATAATAAGAGTAGTAGAGCCAAATAGATAATAGTCATACCCGCCACCCCCCACCCCTTTTTTTTTTTGGTTCAGCATGAGTATTTCCATTTTAAGAGTTAGGACATGGCTGCTTCTCCTACTGGGTTATACTTTGGAGAGGTACATATGCATATGAAAAACCCAAACATAAAATATGAACAAGCAAATGTAGTCCCTGTAACTAGTCTTTGTATATTTCTTTCCCCCTAGCTTGTAGTGTGAATATGAATTATCTGGTTTTAATTAAATTCACCATGAGATTACAAAAGACCAAAAATATACAAATTCAAAGTAAGCATGAGCTTTTTCTTACTAAAACCTGAATTATACCGAAACGACTTAACATCCCCAAACACAGTCTCTAATAAGTAAACATTTTTCTATTTTACTAGGAGCATCAGCATAAACATAGTGCTCAAACATCAGAAAAAACCATCAATTTGGATAGAAAGGATTCATGATCCTTCCCTCACATTTAATCAAGTGATGTCTTACGTAATATTACTTATTTACACATGTATACTATTCAGGACTTAGCATCAAACAACAAATGCTGCACTAACCTGCGAGCCCTCGGGTTGAAGGCTTCTCCTTTCTCGTGCTCGATGTACTTTGAAATGTATCAGAAAAGAATCCTACAACACTATCCCAAGCACCAGTAAGACCTGAAGACGTCTCTGAGTTAAAACCCAATGGATCAAAAGCAGATCCATCAACGTGTTGACTGTGCCTGCAAAAGGCACTACTTAGGCAACCAAAATAAACCATCACTATGCAAACCCCCCCTCTGAAGGTGCAATTGCCTATTATTAGAGATCAATTTGCAAAGAAAAATACCACCATCAAGTTTGAACTTCCAAATAATTATGTTTGTCCGATAAAAGAAGTTGGAAGGATGCATATCTCGATAACCATTACTAAATTCAGGCGAGAAGTCTTCTTTGTATAATTGCACTGAAGATTTAGTATTTGATTTTTTATTGAAGGAAGAGATGTTGTTTTCTTTGTAATATTATCAACAACAATACAAATATGTGTAACCGCCCAAGGCAAAAAAAAAAAAGAAAAAATCTAGAGTGAAGAATGGGCAAATGGCTATAACTTATTTCTTAGTAGGGAAAAGTGCAGACAAGAGGAAGTATTACTCAGTATGATTATAATTGCACTGAAGATTTAGTATTTGATTTTTTATTGAAGGAAGAGATGTTGTTTTCTTTGTAATATTATCAACAACAATACAAATATGTGTAACCGCCCAAGGCCAAAAAAAAAAAAGACAAAATCTAGAGTGAAGAATGGGCAAATGGCTATAACTTATTTCTTAGTAGGGAAAAGTGCAGACAAGAGGAAGTATTACTCAGTATGATTATAATTGCACTGAAGATTTAGTATTTGATTTTTTATTGAAGGAAGAGATGTTGTTTTCTTTGTAATATTATCAACAACAATACAAATATATGTAACCGCCCAAGGCCAAAAAAAAAAAAAGACAAAATCTAGAGTGAAGAATGGGCAAATGGCTAACTTATTTCTTAGTAGGGAAAAGTGCAGACAAGAGGAAGTATTACTCAGTATGATTATATGTCTGCTTAATAAAGAAATGATACATGGGCAAATGGCTAACTTATTTCTTAGTAGGCAAAAGTGCAGACAAGAGGAAGTATTACTCACTATGATTATATGTCTGCTTAATAAAGAAATGATACATGACTAAGTAAGATGATTCACCCAATCAGAATAACAATAATCACCAACCCCTGATCAAACTAATTTTAATATGCCCTGTTGCGAGTAATTTTTTTCCCCTTACAGTGTGTTTGGGAGAAGACTAATAGCCTGTTTGGATGGAGGGTAGAGAAGAGAAGGGGAACGGAAATTTTGGTTTACCTTTGTTTGCGAGTTCCATTTAAAAGGGTAGAGGAGGGGAATGAGGGGGAAAATTGAACTAAAATCTTACCCCCAAATTGAGGGGTAAAGAAGGGGAATGGAAGGAAGGGAGTCATCTCCCAAACACACCATAAGGGAAGGGAACTTTTGGTGTGTTTGGGAGATGACTCCCTTCCTTCCCTTCCTCTTCTTTACCACCAATTTGGGGCTAAAATTTTAATTCAATTTTCCCTCACGTTCCCCTCCTCTACCCTTCTAAAGGGAACTCTCATCATGTTCCCTCCTCTAGCCTTCTAAATGGAACTCCCATCACATTCCCCTCTTCTACCCTTCTAAATGGAAAAATCCCAAACAAAGGTAAACCAAAATTTCCCTTCCCTTTCCCTTCTCTACCCTCCATCCAAACAGGCTATTTAGTCTCAAAATTATGCAAATTAGACAGTTAAATAGAGCAGCAGCTGCATTGTCCTACGTGAGCAGCCAATAAAATGACATATCAGATTATTTTTTTCGTGGTCACACGATCTTCATTCCTCAAACTAAAACAGACTTAAAAAAACTCAAAATTTCAAAAATTGAGCAAAACCCAATGGAATAAATGTAAGCAAAGCTTCAACAAGTAGCTTAGGTCGAGCCCATATGAACAGAAATTGAAGGCCCAATTTAAGATAGAAGAGCGAACCTTCCTCTTTTGGGATTTCCCTCGACCGACAGCAAAGCTCGGCACAGCCGGTGACCGTATCCCTTGGAGGTGACGGGATTCCGAGAGAGGGTTGAAGAGAGGCCGAGAGGATCTCGAACTGATAAGAGCATCGTAGAGAGAGAGAGAGAGAGAGAGAGGATAACGGGACTCTAGGATGCAGTGTTATTGCATTCAGAAATGCACACTTCCATTCTATTGGGTTATCGGGTTGATACGTCAAATATATTTCAGACCGGATGACTCTTTTTTTTATAATAAATTTTCAAAATAGACAATTTTAGAAATCTAATCATCAAAATCGACCCACTCGTAACTTATTTAGCAATTTCGACCTAGTTTCAATCACAAAGGTTAAAATTAGGTCGAAATTGTGAAATATGTTTTATAAACTTTACGGGAAATCGCGTGCAGTTTAGTAGAAAATTAAACTCCACGAGATTGAGAATCACGTATAGTTTAGTAGAAAATTAAACTCCACGAAATTGGGAATTCCGTGTTGTTTATAACATAAAAACTACACATATTAGCTGAGGTTTGAACAATGGCCTTTCAACTTATAACTTAACTTTTGAGCTATTAACCACTGAATCTCGTATAGTTTATATATGTTATGAACTATACAGTTTATATATGTTATGAACTATACGGGAATTCCAATCATGTATAGTTAAACAGAGCTCTAAACTCAATGGGATTAAAAATCTCGCAAAGTTTAATTTTCTACTAAACTACACGGAATTCTCACTTATTTATCAAATTAGACCCGGTTTCAAGCCATGTTGCTAACGTGACTAAAATTAAACCGAATTTGATAAACAAGTTGCAACTATGCTTAAAATGATAATTTTTTTAAAAAAGGGTGTATTTTGAAAATTTATCCTTTTTACACATAAATATATATAGCGACGATTAGCCTCCCAAAAATAAAAACGAAGTAAAAACATAATTCATGAATGATCAAAGCTAATTGATCAGCCAAAGTTTATTAGACATCAATAGCTCGAAACACACAGTATAAATGGCTATGATGAACAAGTTCCTAGATTTACCTATATAGATCAAAGAATACTAGGATAGTTCGTCCTGTGATCCAAACACTGGTGACATTATTGTTAGTCTTCAAATTACAAGACTTCCATAAATGATAAATACAGACAGACACCAGCAAGACATAAATAATTGGGGGTAATATGCTTCCCATCTGAGTTTCTGCAGAAAATTTTTAGAGACCCAGATCCTCTCGCATACCATAAATATAATCGCAATCAACTAATGCGCCCACAAATGAACTCCTACTCACAATTGCCGCATTTGCCTTCCACATAATTTGTAGCAGACCCGTTATAACTCCACAATCCGTGTATGTTCATTTTCAGAACACGTACCATTTATTACTCTTGATGGTTTACTGTGTTCTTATTCCCCGAACTTGATGCTGCCTCCTCCTTGGAAACATTGGATCCATTCTCCTTGCTGCGAACTGTATTGGCGACGACTGAAGTGTCATTTGAGCAGGTTGCTTCTGATTTCAAAGCAACTTTAGCGGAAACAGTGGCAGCATAAGTACCATTAGTAAGCTCCGACTTCCCATTTGCATAGCCATTGGCAATATTGGAAGGTGGAACTTTTGACTTTCCGGTTTGGGTTCTCTTGATATGGGTCACAGACTTCTCTCCGGTAGGTTTGTCAAGGAATCCACGAGAAAACAACGGTTTTGGCTTACCTCTGGAACCATTCACCAAGACCACGGTGGAAGCTTTAGCCCCATTTTCGGTTGAAATATTAGCCAACTTCTCAACTCCATCAGTTATGCCTGATGGGCAATGCTTTACCATGTTTGGTTCTGGTGCATGTCCAGATAAATGGGGCACTTCTCCAGTACTACAAACCGACCCATTATCTTCCGCATGGGAATTGGAATTAGAGACACCGGGAGGTTCATCACATTCCATATCTTGTACATCATCAGAGGATTGTGCTGCTGGAGAGCAAAAATTGGTATTGTTTTGGGGGACATCAACATCTCCATGAATATGAGAACGCTGACTCCAACTATCTCCTTCGGAACTTTTGGGTTTGTCAGATTCCATATATCGATGTTCAACAGCAGGAGACGTAGAATCTTCTTGAATATGAGAAGGCTGACTCAAACTCCCTTCTTCATAAACCTCTGGTCCTGATGCAGAATCATTCATAACCATATCACCTGAATCTTTTTGTGCAAGCATCAGGGTTACCTCCACTGGCAGTTGCAGCTCCAAATCCTCTTTTCCGATCATGGAATCAGTTTTGATATCTGCCAATCTGTCATGGCCTGTATCCCTCAGCAAGGAAATACTTGACTCTGAACTGGTATTAGAGGAAAGGCTCTGGAGGTCACTATTAGATTCTGAACCAGTACTCGAAGGGAAGCTCGTAGTATCACTAGACACATCATGTCCGTTAGGGACATTTGATAAGTCAATTTCCCTTAAGGCCAAGTGTTTCTTTCTTGCAGATTCTATGGGCTTAACAAAAGGCTCCCGACGTGCAGTCCTCCTAACAAACGACATAAAGTTCTCAATCAGCCATTAGAAAACAAACTGAATTCTGTAAAGTCTATAAATTCCTTTTTTGTTTTTTTTTAACTTTAAAATATCAAGTGGCAGAAAGCATTTCTGATTCCATTAGCTAAAGAAGCTCATTACTAAACAATAACGAGCTGGGTGCTTTTACATGACAATTCAATGCAATAGAAAGAAACCCTACCTGCTATACAAGAGCATATAAGCTCCCTGTGAAAGTACCTCCTCCACATCAACAACAGTGACCTGCAATCTTACAATACTGAGAACCAAATAATAATAATAATAATAATAATAATAAAACCAAGAATTTAATAGTTATGTTCCATAAAATAATAATGCTGATAATTACCTTGCAGTCGTCAATCCTATACCAGCACCCATAATAATCTTTGGTATAGCAAATATAATGGCCAAAAAAGGAAGCATTCAACATGTCAACATGAACAACTACGGCATACAGTGAATATTTATCGGTACCATCTCCATCCTCACTCATGTATGGAGAAAGATCCAGCTCTTCGGGAAAAGTTACTCTTTTATTCAATTTGCCAAACCTACCGCTCTGTACAAACATGAAGCAGCAAGAGCTTGAAACTTTCAACTTCATTGGAAAGACAATAAATTGCAGAAGAATTTAACGGTTTCTAACCTGGAACCTCTTCAGAGCAATAGTAAGTATGTTGGGAGCCTGATGAACTGTAAGCCGTTTCCATGCTTTGACATAACCATTGCATCTGAAGGCAAGAAAGCAATATGAAATTCATTTTTTTTTTCCTGAGTGAAAAGAAAGAACCTCACAAGTATAAAGTATCAACAAAATGAGGGATATCAACCAATTTTTTTTTTTTTAGAATTAAAATTCTGATCACATTTTTGGGTATGGACTGAAACGAACCCGACCCATATCTCATTAGTTTCAAAAGACGGATGTTAAGTGTAAGCTCTACGTCCAGGAAGTCTTTGACAAGTGTTTTAAATTAGGGCTTTTTGTTTTTAGGTCCATTTGTTTATCTAGTTTTATCTTTAAACCCAAGTATTATAAGTTGTATATTTAAACCCAACTTTCTTTTTGTATTTATCTTTAAACCCAATTTCCTTATATAGGAGGACCCACATATGAGAGTATTATATTTTAGAATTGGGTTTAAAGATAAATACAAAAAGAAAGTTGGGTTTAAAGATACACCTAATAATTCTTGGGTTTAAAGATAAAGCTAGGTAAACAAATGGACCTAAAAACAAAAAGCCCTTTAAATTAACACATATATCGTATAATTGAGTACATGTTGTAATAAATGCATGCATATATTCAAGAAGTGTCCATAAAGTTTGGGTACGGGAAAGTGTCGGGTACGTGTGTCCGGTACGGGTACGGCTTCAATATAGAAGTACCCAGGTAACATAGGATTTGACATTATCAAAGCTCTCATATAAAGGAGCAAGAGACCCACAGTATAAAATTGTTTATAGAGGTTTCGCTAGTTTTAAATGTTTCACTTTGAGTTTGCTTGGTGCATAGAAAGTATCCAGGTGTATGGTAAGTGTAATCGCCTATGTGCTGTTCTCATTGGTTCTCTGCGGAATATAAACATGAAATGAACCAACAACTCAATCAGGCAAACCAAAACTAATCCAAATTAATAGGAATTTATCATGAGAAATTTATCATGAGAAACACGTTATTCCCTTATTTCTGCGATTAGCAGTATAAAATGCATTACTAGCATATTTCACTTTCCAAAAAATTGCTCAAAAGATGAAGCATGCGATTGAAAAAGCATTTTCTTGTTTGAATTATAAATACTTACCCATCACATTTATACTTATTATCCCCATCAAGCCACTCCTTTACAGTGAACTGCTCCAGACACTCCTCCAAGGATTCAGCATCACCATGAATTTCAACCGTCAAATCCATCATATTCTCATAACGATTTGAAATCATATTGCATATTGTACATTTCACCTGAAAATATGACAAGCTACAGTTACCGCATAGTACTACAAAAAGGAGTCTTGACGCGAAGCAAAAGGGGAAAATAGGGAACCAAGCTACCCTTCCAATAGCAGTACCTAAACAACTGCAGACATGAGAGGTGTGCCATACCAACGAAGTATCAAATTGGACTTTACAATTCTTGGTTACACACTATGAATTTAATTAAATTTTATTCTGTTATCAGTTTTTAATAATGTTCTAGTCATTAGGTAGCTTGATGTTTAGCATATATGAACATGAAAAAAGTATGTGCATACATATGTAGCCATCGGTCCATGCCTATATGTTGCATGTAAGAATCTGCCACGTTAAGATGTGTGTCGTGTCAAATATGTACGCTATTCTTTTCCATGTTACTTCCATTTTGTATTGTGTCGTGTCATCAATGTTGTAAAAAGCCTCCACCTAGCCCGTCTAGGCGTATGCCTACGCCTAAGCCGTACTTAGCCACCTACCTAGCGCCTAGCGCCTTAGCGGTACCTAAGTTGCCCACATAGGCTTTGGGAGCGCCTAGAGGAGCATGGTTTGCCTACATGGATTGCACCCCTTAGGCATTGTTCGTGATTTCCTTTATTGCCACCTCCACGTCCACCAATCCCCTCCAAACTCCTCCAAACTCTAACTATGAACACCTCATCTATCTCTCCCGACCTTCAGCAAAACCTCCTCCATCACCACTTAAGAAATATGTCTAGGTGTTAAGCCCAACGCATAAACTTTCTATAACACAAGCATTTATTATCATTAATTGTAATTGAAAACTAAAAAATAGGAAAATGCCTAGTCCATGCCTAGGCTCTAGGCGTTGGGTCCCACGCCTAGCCCGCCTAACGCCAGGGCCGGCCCTAGCATAAGGCAACTAAGGCCTCTGCCTTGGGCCCCAAGTTGGATAAGGCCCACCCATCCATAATATATAATATATATAACTTAGTTACTTAAGCATAAACCCAACCCTATTTTTCAGTCTTCCACTATCGCCGCCGCCTCCTCTCTCAGAAAGTCTCGCCCACTCTGGTCTTCCGATCCAAGCTCAAAAAATCATCGCATCAGCCCTAGCATAAGTCAAGACTCAAATCAATTCTCAAAAAATCATCCGATCGGCCCTAGCATAAGTCAAGACGCAAATCTCAATTCTCAAAAATCATCCTATCGGCCCTAGCATAAGTCAAGACTCAAATCTCAATTCTCAAAAAATCATCCCGCCCAAGCTCCTCTTCTTCCGATCGACGATCGCATCTAGGACGTCCCAATCTCCCACTCCGGTCGGCGATCTTCCGATCGGCCACCGCAGCTTCCAGCCAACTCTCCCCCCCCCCAAGCTCTCTCTTCGGGAGTCATCCGCGGGCCGCCGCTAGCCACCTGGCCAGGCCCACTTCCGTTGCTCCGCAGGCGACAGTCCGCACCTCTCCTCTCCCAGAGTTCTGACTCCTGAGTCCCAGCCCACAGTCCCACTCCATGCTCCGGTAGTCCGCTCTCCAGACTCCAGCCACCTCCGCAGCTCCGCTGAGTCCATTCCCACAGTCCCACAGTTCTATCTTTCTAACTAAAACTATTTAATTTTCTTTACTATTTATTCATATTAGTTTTATGCTTAATTAGACATTGTAGACATTGTAGATATTTTATGCTTAATTAGACATTGCTGAGTCCGCTGAGATATTGTAGATATACATTGCTATTTTATATTTTGAAAGCATGCCTAATAAAAAATATGAAAGTGGTTGTCAAAAATTGAAAAAAAGAAAGAGTTGAAAAATTAATTCGATCTCAACAAGGAGCTCTTAATAAATTTGTTTTTAGTAATAAAGATAATGTTACATCAACTTCAACAGAAGAAAGAATAGATGAATCTTTAGATTCTTTACTTGAGAATGAATTAGAAGCATATGTTGAGAATTTAGGATAAAATAATGATATTACCGATAATAATATTCAAGAATAAAAATCTAGTACTCCTAATTTTAATGAAGAATATAAAGAAAATTCACATGAGGGCCAAGAAAAAAATTTAGAGATGAATGAGATATCAAATTCAATTCTTATCAATATTTATGATCCTAGACAATGGAAATGTATTGATCAAATCAAATTCAATTCTTATCAATATTTATGATCCTAGACAATGGAAATGTATTGATCAAAATTTTATAGATCTAATAGTTGAAAAAGGTCCAATTAAATATGATGAAGTAGATTTTCCTAAAGATGAAAATAATACACTTTTCTACATCATATTACATTAAAAATTGTCAAATGGAGAAAAACATGAAAAAAGGTGGTTAGTTTACTCAAAAGATTTAGATAGAGTTTATTGTTTTTGTTGCAAATTATTTACTTCAAAATCTAGTACAAGTCAGTTAGTTAACGAAGGTACTAGAGATTGGAAAAATCTTGGATATAAAATTAAAAATCATGAAACAAGTCATGAATATATCACTAATATGTGTAAATGAGTGGATTTAGAAGTAAGATTACAAAAAAATAAGACAATAGATAAAAACATTCAAGAACAAATTAATAACGAAAAAGAACACTGGAAAAAAGTTTTGCTAAGACTTATTGCTATAGTAAAATATCTATCAAAAAATAATCTTGCATTTCAAGGAACAAAAGAAAAGATATATGAAAAAAATAATAGAAACTTTTTAAACTTGGTTGAAATGATAGTGAAATTTGATCCCATAATGTAAGAACACGTTAAACGTATACAAGAAGGTGAAATTCAAAATCATTATCTCAGTCATAAAATGCAAAATGAACTAATAAAGTTGATAGCTTCTGAAATTAAAAAAAATGATCATTAAAAAAATAAAAAGAAGCAAAATATTTTTCAGTTATCCTTGATTGTACTCCAGATGCAAGTCATCAAGAACAAATGACTCTTATTTTAAGATGTGTTGATACTTCAACAAGTCCAATAAAGATTGAAGAATACTTTTTAGAGTTTTTAAAAGTAGATAATACTTCGGGAAAAGGTCTTTTTGATGAACTTTTAAATATTTTGAAAAAATATGAACTTGATGTTAATGAAATAAGAGGGCAAGGTTATGATAATGGATCTAATATGAAAGAAAAACACAATGGAGTACAAAAGAGGCTATTAGATATAAATCCTAGAGCATTCTACACACCATGTGGTTGTCATAATTTAAATTTAGTCTTATGTGATATAGCTAATTCATGTCCTAGAGCTATTTCTTTTTTTGGAGTGTTGCAACGTATATACTCATTGTTTGCTTCATCTACTAAACAATGGAAAATTTTAGAAGATAATGGATGCAAGTTATCCGTTAAATCTTTATCTCAAACCAGATGGGAAAGTCGAATTGAAAGTGTTAAAACAATAAAATTTCAAGCTCCAAATATAAGAGATGCTTTGATTCAATTAGCAGAAATTAGTGAAGATCCAAAGATAAAAAGTGAAGCTAATAGCTTAGCAACTTATGAGATTGAAAATTTTAAATTCTTATTAGCTATGAATATTTGGTATGACATATTGTTTGCTATTAATTCAGTTAGAAAAATCTTACAATCTAAAGATATGCATATTGATATTGCCATAGATCAATTAAAGGGTCTTATTGTATATTTAGAAAATTATAGACAAAATGGTTTTATGTCTGCTTTGAATTCAACTAACTTGCTAATGAAATGGACGTACAACCTATATTTCATGAAAAACATAAAATCCATAGAAAAAAACAATTTGATGAAAATATTGGTAATGAAACAACATTTAACGCTGAAGAATCTTTTCGTATTGAATATTTCTTATACATAGTTGATGAAACTCGCTTGGCTCAATTGAAAGTAGGTTTGAACAATTTAAAACGTATGAAATTTTTTTGGTTTTTTGTTTGATTTGAAAAAATTAAAAGCTTTAGATGATATTGAATTGAAAGCATATTGTCTTAATCTCGAAAATGCACTAAAACATGATGAACATTTAGATATTAATGGACTTGATTTGTTTTTAGAATTGAGAGTGCTTAGGGAAATTTTAAAAATAGAGATTAATAGTCCAATTGAAGTGTTGAACTATATAAAGTGGTTATATTCTTTTTCAAATACTTGTATTGCTTATCGTGTACTATTGACTATACCCGTAACATTTGCTTCCGCTGAAAGAAGTTTTTCAAAATTAAAATTAATAAAATCTTATTTAAAATCGACCATGTTACAAGATAGATTTAATTGTTTAGCAATATTATCTATCGAAAATAATATGTTAGAAAATATTAAATATAAAACTTTAATTAGTAATTTTGCGGCTCAAAAGGTAAGAAGAATGAGATAAAATCTATTATGAGTTGTATCACTTAGGCCTCATCTAATATTTCGCCTTGGGCCCCAAAATTCCTAGGTACGGCCCTGCCTAACGCTTTCTATAACCTTGTGTGTCATCATATGTATGTAGAGCATAGACCACAAACCAAAATGATCTGGACCATTCCCTTTCAACTCATATAAAAGCACACTGGTTCTGGGACCAAGCATTCTATCTCATAAAGGGAATCCAGATGAAGCTTGCTCGTTTCAAAGCCCTCCAAATATCATACCTTGAAACGTATCAAATCCCCATAAATCATGAATAATACAGGTATAGCCTGAAGAACAGTCCAGCAGCTCTGGTGTCACATTATCACTCATAATAATAGTCTCTAATGGATTAAATATAATCAATACAGCTAACAAAATAAATTACGACTAATAAGTAATAATTTAATTTCTAAATTGTTATGGTATTCACTCACCCAAGATACGGGCATTTGCAAAATGATACAACAAAAGTCCTAACAAAATAACCTCAAACCCACTTAAGTGGCCCAAGCCCAACAGATGTCTCGACCCCGCCGACTCAAGTCGACCTTCTTTCATGCTGACACGAAAGGCGGGATCAGTCGACCCTATCACCGAGGACGACCCACTTAGGATGCTCGACCACTCACTGGGCAATTCTCGGAGACGACTTGAGGGATAGTCCTTACTGTCGGCTAAGTTGAGGACTCGACCCCGGCCTCAAGCCTCTCCCCCAGAGCATATATGTCAACATTTCAGTCCACATCGGACAAACCTTATCCAGATTTTAGCCTAATGGTCTCCATGACTTATCAGTATGTCCACGTACCTCCATGACTTGTCAATCACTTCCCAGAAAATACGAAGACACCCTCTCCCATGCGAAGTGACTTCCCCTCCAGTCGTCAGTCGATACATGTAGAGCAAAGGATGACTCACCTTCCAGCTCACACTTTGTCACCGCCATTTACATGACCGAAGTGACGAATCTGTCATTAACGTCCTCTTTGTATACAGATGCTATTCGCCAAAGCTAAAGGTTGGCAATCTAAAAACCCCCTAAAGCATACATGGCACAAAAACAAGAATATACAGTTCTTCGTCTAGACAAAGGAGCTCACATAGATCCTCTGGGCAGAGATATTGCCACTTTAAAAACCACATTGGTTCCTGACATTCCCCTTCCCCACTCGAGTTTCACTAACTTGACCGTCGGAGGAATCACGAGGGAACTGGTCCCCGCCCTCTCACAGGTTCTTATTTTCTGTGCAGCATGGACATCAATCCTCCGTTCAAGAACTAGGCATAAAATTGAAGGAAGCAACCTCTCCATCACTCTCCCCTACCCCGTCCCGGTGAAGACTCAAGGGAGACCGATCCAGTTCCGGATCGGAACCAATCCCAGCCTGGATCCACTTGGCTGTGTGATATTTAACATCAACATAAACATATAACTGTAGCATATGCATCAAAAAGCAGCAGATAAAAACATTGGTGGGGATGAAATATCAAACCTGAGATTGCAAATGGCCACCAAATATATGTTGAATCAGAGTCGTTTCTTGGGTGCTAGGATCTAGACCCTTTTCACCTCCATGCTCTTCAAGACAAACTGACTGCATTGTATCAATAGCAAACCTACAAGCATACCATACCACCACATTAAATCACTACGGAGCTTCTTATATATGAAATTGAGACAATTATGACCAAATTTTAGAAAGAAATCATATTTCTGAACATTTGTGCACCTACGCAGAAGCGAAACGACATCATCCAATAAAGGCTTGCAAAACCAGGATGCTATGATTTGGTAATTGGACCACGCGGATGAAATCATGATGACCATAAATGTTTACCAGCTTAAGCCAGTTGTCTCTTGGTCGAATAAAACAATTACAAAGCCAAAAGGAAGCAACAACAACAACATTGCAAAACTGAAGCCAAACATACAGATCAGTGAAAAGTACTTCTCTCATCTGAAAAGTACTTCTCATCTTTAAACCCATCAACTCTGTCGTTGACTTCCTTTCCTTGATAAAGTTTAAGAATCCATATCTTACATTAACTTTGATAAATCCAGAAGAACAATAAATTAGGCAATTCAATGATTGGGGCATGAGTCTGACAAACACATAATATAATATAGCAATAACTTTATCCTCTGCATCACAATATCGGATGTTGCTTGTTCAGTACGAAGAGAATCAATGAAATAGCTAAAGGGCAATCTACTGCTGGTCAATTGTGTAAAAAGAAGGTTGACACTCAAATGTTCCCTATGCATCAAGTGTATGTGAAATGATCTTCCTGCACATCCTTTAATACACCCCTCATGACTCTATCTATGCTCCCTTTACTTCTCTGAAGTCTTAGTTTTTAACCCATTTCACCTCTCCAAGGTTTGATTTCCCCTTTTCACTAATTTTCAGTTATAAAAAGTTGATGGGTTGACATCGGAGAACACTGTCAGAGGCATCCGAACCTCCCAACGACTGCAAGAGTCACTGAAGACTCCTGGTCCTTACTGGTGGCTGTGCAAAAGTAAGGCGATAGGGATGGTGTGAAGGGGACATTAGCAAAATAGGGCAGAAGCTTAGGTTCTCTATCCATTATCGTTGCTTGTTTCTAGTATCAATCCATTTTCTATTTGATAGAAAGAGAAACCAGCTATACTGGTTTATGAATTTGATTCATATGAATCTTTATTCAAATAGAACAATCGCCAGAGAGAGTTGCATGACATCTCAAGCCGGAGCAAAACACTTATCATTTCCCTGAATAAAAAACATCAATATCCATTTTAAAATGCAATAAAGGAAGTAGAAATAACCTCATGAGTTCATGAGCATCCTCTTGGCTTCCATAACCAAGGTTGCCGCCAATGTTGGGTATCCGAGATAAGATATTAATCGGTGAAAAGGGTTGCCGGCTTTGACTAGCTCTTTGGATGTGGGCTTGAAGCTCACATAAGAAGCACCAATCTTCTTGCTTCTTAATGCCTGCCGAAATATGAGGGAAATAAATGGTAAGAAAACCATCATTGCTGCAAATAAGAGGTGAGATAGAAAAAAGATTATCGAACTTACACTCTCTCCTGTGATCTTTCTCCAACAAGTAGGCAACTAAGGGACGAGTGCAAGCTAAACATTGTAACACAACATTGGCAAAGCAACTGCACGGGGAAGAGAAGAAACACTCTCAGCGATCTGTGATAAGAAGCAACAAATATACCCTAAAAAGAGTAAGATCATACTACATTGGTCTTCCATACCTGTTCCCACAATTTAAAAGACCACAAGGTGGAAATCCTGGCTTATCCCAATTGAAAAGCTTTATAAATTCATCATAGGGAAAAAGAATCTGCATGATTAAAGGCAGAATACTCAAGTATTAATGTAAATAAATTTATCAACAAAACAAGTTATAAAGAGAAGTTGATAACCGAAACTTCACCTTTTTCGGTTCATGCAAGATCTTATAGGTTCCTCGGGCAGGAACCAATGTGATAGAAGATTTCCTTCTTCTGTATCCATCACCCCCAGAGGGACCACTGTCCACCTTATCTAAAGATTTCACGAGCTTGCATCTTAATTTGTGCTCTGCTTCCCAATGCTTTGATTGACAAGCTTGCGAACTAAAAATAATGCCTATTAGTTTTTGTCCGAAACTTTATAAAACTATTTATGATTTGAACAATATACCAAAGAGAATCTGCCTATCGCGGAAATTATAATAATAACAGTGAGCACAGCAGAAACAAGAGCTATGAATTTACAAAAATAAGGGTTAACGTTGTAAGCATATGTGAACATAATTACCTAAGAAACGAAGATCGGCTGGGAACTGCAAATTACAAAATTAGCAAGGCAAGAGAATGAGACAAAGCTATAGTCCGTGGTTAGCGCTGATCAGGTTCATTTTGAGCATAATCCAATTACCTATGATGTCATGCCAAAGTTCTTTGTGTGTGCACACGCACGCATGCGTGTGTTGGGGGTTGGGGGGGTGTGATGTGGTGGGGTGGAGTGGGGGTTGTAAAATTCACAGAATAAAAAGAAAAAATAATGCTGAAATTCTTTTCAATCTGTTTATTTATCTTCCCTACTCTTTTTTTCTTTATGTCCCTTCTCTTGTTGCAACTAGAAAGCTTCAAATTTTAGGTTATGCTTTCGAATGAAGCAAGATAAACATAACATACATCAAAACTTATCTGAACAGATACTGGAATTGTGCATGGTACTCTCTTCAGTGAAGAAATTAGACTTAAATCAATAGGTTAAGTGCATCTTACTTCTGAAACTCAGGTTTCAGCTAATAAAGGAAAGAGATCTCCCCTTCAATGTACTGTCTCCTGGATACTATCCAGGCAGAGGGACCAATAAATGTAAACTAAAAACAAACGATTGCATAGACATCTAAGCTTAGGTTTTAATTTGACACAAGTTTCTATCGTCATCTGGTCAATTAAAGCCTATAGAATAAACCAATGATTATGATGCGCTCCTTGGAACAAATATCTAAATAAGACCTGGTAACAGCATCCAGCTATCCAATTAAAATTTGGCAGTCATTTACACATGGGCCTCAATCCCCCATGGTTGAAATATGCATAAACTGTGTCCTCTCTACACACTACACAGTCCTAATTTTTTCACATGTAGGTCTCTCAGCACCGTCCTAGCTATTCCATATTTAGGTGAGAACTGTCAGATCGACAATGTGAATTCTCTATAGCAGTTTGCTCCTAAATAACTCTCCTAAAATGTTAAAGGGCTTTGTTCAACTTAACAGTTGATATAGCAGTAAACTTCGAACTTCTATCGTAGTGTCCTTCACAACTATTAACAGAAGATTCCCTGAACATCAGCACAATAGTCATAATAGTTAATCATATACCACATAGTTTCTGAAGTGCTTTTTCCCTTCTTTTTTGTTAGATTGGTAGGCAGACTCTTGCATGAACCAGAAATTCGAATTCAACGACAACAATATACTATAACCAAAATGAAGTGCTGCCATTTACTACGTAACTCCCATGTTGATGTATGCAGTCATAGTCAGAAAGTCCAATCTGTACAAAAATACAACGATCTTAAAACTGCTTCCTGAGGAACTAAGCGACTTTCTGTGTGATACCTTCCCCACATATTCGATCAAAAATATTATTGAGAATAATTAATTTGTTTGTGTGTGTGTTTGGATGGGTGGGGTTTCTTTTTTTCTTTTCTTTCTTTTTTTTGGGGTGGGGTGTGTGTGGTTCTGAATGTACTTAAGTCTTTTCTTCGTTCAGCTCCATCTGCAACAAAGTTCACAAGATTTCTACTAGATCACAGGTACCACCACAAAATAGCAGCTTTAGATGTCCTAGCAAAGAATCATTGGGAAATCTCCTTCACACATAATTGCAATAAAACACAATGCATAACAATATATATTCCGCTACTATTTTCACTATTCATCTAAAGTTCCTTACTTTCACACGCATACGACTTCCGGTGTATATTCTTTTTATAAAAATATCATCTTTTATTGTGTAAGAATTATAAAATTAACTAAAAACAACTAAACAAGCTTCATATATAAATTAATCAGCTTCATGGCCCTAACTTAGCGAACATGGGTTTCTAATTAAATTACTTAAACTTTTGTTTATTCATCACAGTCAGAGTTCAGAATTTGTAACTAGAGAGCACAGGTCTTCATAACAAAATAGCATCTTTAAATGTCCAAACACATAATTGCAATAATCCGAGGTGCTAAGCAACTTAATAGTCTGTAATAGCAAACATATTCCTCTACTAATTTATTCTATTCAGCTAATTGTTCCTTAACTCCCTAGCATACATAAGCAACCGATAATATTTTCAAAAAGAAATCAGTTTCGTTATGCAAGATGATAAAAATAACAAATTAACTTTAAAAAGCCAGCTTTACGGCTCCAATTTAGCGCATTAAGGTTTCTAATTAAATAATTCATTAACAATTCAAGGGATCATGAAATTCCTACCAGTACCGAACGCTCTTGCACCTCGAGCACTTCTTGGACCCCGCTCTCCCACACGCCACACAAACAGCATCATCGCCGGGCCGGTCCCGAAGCTAGCGTCGACGACAAAATACTTAGACGCCGCCTTCTTCACAACGAAGAGCGATCCGAGAACGAGCGCGATCGCCGTAAGAACCAACGGTAGCAGTGAGGAGAGATCCAGCGCGAGCATCTAAACCTAGGGTTTTCATTTATCGATCGATCTTAATGAGATGGAGGATCCGATGCCATTGCGACTAGGGTTTGTTCTAGAGAGAGAAAGTGGATGAGCTCTTTTGTAGAGAGAGAGAGAGAGAGAGAAATTGGGACTTTAATCGAAGGCGGTGAGGGGATTTTAATCGCGGGGGCCTTTCGCTTTCTTGATCTCCGAAAGAAACCGAGGTGTTCTGGACACTCGCGGTCAAGTTACCGACACCGGGTCTCCCGTCGGGTGTTTCCATGCGAAAGGAGTGGGTTAAACAGTTTATACCAGTTTATTGGAATTTTTCTTATTTAGGCCGTAACTTCTATATTCTATTTACATATATTAGGCCTTTAAATCCTCATCTTCGTAAACTACATTTGTGATCTTCAAATATTTTTCGAAGGGCAAAATGACCAAATTGGTATATTTTGTTTACCCATAGTGATAGGTTGGCATATAATTTTTTTTCGGTACCACATTGGTATATTTCTGAACTCCGGCGACAAATAGGCCTTAAGTTTGACCGGATCTAATTTTTCGGCCATTTTTCTCATGTGGCGGCTCACATGACTCCAACGTGGCCGCCAGCATGGCTGAAGTTAGCGGGGGTTTTGTAGAAAACCTCAGAAAAAAGCTAAAACTTTCAATTAAAAACCTCCAGTGTCTTCTTTCTTACTCAAAAAATATCTCTCTCCTTCAATCGCCACTTCAACCACATAGAGAGAGAGATACTCAAAAAAATACCTCTCTCCTTCAATCGCCACTTCAACCACATAGAAAGAGAGAGAGAGATACTCAAAAAATACCTCTCTCCTTCAATCGCCACTTCAACCACAGAGAGAGAGAGAGAGAGAGAGAGAGAGAGAGAGAGCAAGCGATTCCACAAGTGAGTCCGGTGCTACGCTCTTCCCCCATCGCCTCTACCGGTAGCGAGGACATCCTCTTCTGCATCATCGTCGACGTAGAATCCAAGGTGGAGATGAAGGTCCATGGGCCCAACGGCCGACCAACCACCCGCTTGTGCGCCATCAAGCAGGTCGTGCTCTCATTCGTTAATTCCAAACTCAACATCAACTTCGACCATCAGCTTTCTTTTGCTTCTCTCGACGGCGAGCTCAGATGAGCATGTTCCCTTTTCCTTTTTCCAAATTTATTTCATAGTTTTTTTTATTTATTTATTTTTGTGAAATTTCAATGGGTTTTGAGATTGACATGTTGATGGGTTTTCTGAGAGTGATGGGGTTTTGAAATTTGGGTTTTTGGTAATGGGGGAATCCTTTGTGCATTTGGGGAGTTAATTCCTTGTTAATGGTGGGTTTGTGGGAGTCTTAATGGCCTTTGTTGTGTGTGTGTATGTATGTATGTATATATATATATATATATGGGAGAAGTGTTCCTAAGGTGACACCTTAGATAATCATCTAAGGACGCGACCTAAAATCACATGATTGAGCTACATTGTGAATGATTCGCTCCGTTGAACTTGATCTACATATTCTAAAATCCCAACACACCAAGTCTAGGGTGAACACGTTGTCGTTTGACCCTTCATCCACTCGTATCAATTTTAACGGTTTCGAATGAATAGAACTTTTCATATGGCTATATATATATATATATGGGAAAAGTGTTCCTAAGGTGACGCCTTAGATAATCGTCTAAGGATGCGGTCTAAAATCACATGATCGAGTTATATTGTGGATGATCCACTCCGTTGAACTTGATCTACATATTCTAAAACCCCAACATACCAAGTTTAGGGCGAACTCATCGTCGTTTGACCCTCCGTCGAGCCATGTAAAAAGTTATATTTATTCGAAACCGTTAAAATTGATACGAGTGGATGAAGGGTCAAACGACGACGGGTTCACTCCAAACTTGGTGTGTTGGGTTTTTAGTATATGTAGATCAAGTTCAACGGAGCGGATCCTCCACAATGTAGCTCAATCATGTGATTTTAGACCGCGTCCTTAGATAATATATATAAAGAGCTATTTAGTATAAACAAAGGTTTGTGGTGGCGGAGGGTGGAGAGGAGGAAGAAGATCGAGGAAGTAGAGGAGGTGGAGAGAGAGAGTTTACTTGCCACGCTGACGGCCACGTTAGAGTCACGTGAGAAAAATGGCCGGAAAATTGGATCCGGGCAAACTTAAGGCCTTATTGTCGTCGGGGTTCAGAAAATATACCAATGTGGTACCGAAAAAAATTATATGCCAAACTGTCACTATGGGTAAACAAAATATACCAATTTGGTCATTTTGCCTTTTTCGAAGCGGGGTCGTTATTTGACTTGTTTTAGACAATTAATTGATTCGGAAGTGTAACTTACAACGGTTTTCGTCAGTTTTTTTCTTTTTGAATATGGGTTCCTTAAATCTTCAATAATTTGATGCTAGTCCTCAAATCATTGAAATTGCTTATACGTCCCTCAAATCATAAGGGCAATTGAATTTTAGCCTATTTGTTTGTTTTTCAGTTAAATTTAAGGTGAGAGAAGATGAGAAAATGAGTTAGAGGTATTTTTTTTTATCATCGGAGAAGACGAAAAATGTGTTTTAGATTTCTAGATTTACATATTTTAGATTTGAACAGTTAAAGAATCAAGTGATTAAACATAACCAAGGACTGTAGCTAGAATTCAATGCAAAAGATTGGCTTTGAGGAAATATTTCCCTCGGATTTAATGCGAGTCAACTGGAGGAACCAAAATGTCAAGCACCCTTATGATTTGTATTAACAATTTCATTGATCTGAGGGAATATAACAAATTATGAAAGATATGGGGGACCCATATCAAGAAAAACCCTTGAAATAGTTAGAGGGTAAAATTACAGATATAAAGGACAAGGGACTTAGTATAAAAATATGACAGAACTCAGGGTCTAATGTGACAAAACTTCACTTTATGCCGTTGTTTATGTGGAGCCCTGGTCAATTGGGCTGATTTGGTTACGCCTTAATATAGACACGGGCTTGTAGATGAGCCCAATAATCCGATACATTGAAAATACACGGTTCCATAATCAAGCGAGAAAATATCTCCGACATAATAGATACACAAAATTACAACCACAAGAACATTAAAATATAGATTTATTCATCATAGTTTTTTAAGATATTTTATTTCATCATCATCATCATCGCCACCTTCTTCTTTCTCATTGATGCGCCCACATTATATAGTCTCTCTATCCACACAATATTGATATTGTTTCTAACTTTATCTGACTGAATATGATTTATCTTTTTGTTAACGCAAAGTTATATACGCTTATGCGTTCTTCTCATCCGTGCGGATCTTTTATAATTTGACCCGAAACCTGTTTGTCATAAACGAAGAAGGCATACACCAAGATGGTCCCATGATGATTGATTTTTCTCCGGAAAATTCCCTAATGACCCAAAATATAAGACCAACAGGGGGACATGTGAGGTGTCTCTCTCCTATTGCATAATGAGCTGACCAGCTCATTATACAATAGGATGGTGACACCTCACTTGTCCCCCCTGTTGGTCCCATATTTTGGGTCCCTGTAGCTAACATGTGCTTAATTTATTGTTTATTCTCTCCAAAAAAGAAAAAGTACTCTTGTTATGGTAATTCGCCATCTAAAGATAAAAATATCGAGAAACTGTCTTCATAGGCCAAAAAGAGCTATGACCCAAGCCAGCTTAGCGGCCCAAAGCCCAGCCAAGAACAAATCTATTGACCCGCCGAACGACGAGTCATCTTTGCCGACGCGAAGCGCGGGAGCAGTCGACCCTTCATAATCAAGACGACTCCTCAAGAGTCCGCCCGCCTTGTAATCAAGACGACTCCTCAAGAGTCCGCCCGCCTCATAATCGAGACGACTCCTCAAATAGTCGGCCCGACCATCTACTCAGCTGTCTACTCGGCCAGAGGCTCACTCGACTGTCTGATCGGCAAGTCATGGGGACGATTCAAAAAACCGACCCGTCTCTACAAAGGGGATAAGATTCAACTAAGCTCCCTTCATATATACACCAATCAACACTACAGTATTGATCGATCAAATCAAGATCTCAACTCTGACAAATCTCGTGCATACACAGCTTTCTTTGGCTCACAAGTCACTTCCCAGATATTACTAAGATATCCTCTCCTGTGCTCGAATGACCTCCCTTCCGGCCACTATCCGACATCTGTAGAAGGAAGAACGACTAAGCATACAGTTTATCTTCCACCATGCCTCATCTGTCAAATCCGGGACATAGTGGAGACATCCTCTCCTGTGCTCGAATGACTTCACTTCCACTAGCAAGCCGACATCTGTAAAGCGAAGGATGACTTAGCAGCATGTCCGCTCACTTTCCCAACCGCCCCCCTGTGCATAGTCAGAGACAAGGGTCGGTGTCTTAAAGACGATTGACTATAAAAAGAGAGGAGCGGGGTAAGAAAAGGAGGCTGGACCTTCATTAAGCTCCGGGGATCATTTCTCCCTCTTGATCTATTTTCTTTTTACTAATAACTCAAAGAGAGTACCCCCTACAAGGACCTCAATGGCCCTGGGACTCTCCCAAAAACCCCACTCAAGCTCACCGGCTGACTTGACAGTCGGAGGTACCACGGGGGAAACATGCCCCGCCCTCTTACGATTCTTGCGTGTGCAGGTCATCAGTCAGTCCCGAGCTCTAAGAATCACGCATAAAGTCGGAGGAGGAGTCGGCTCCATCTCTCATCCTCTCACTCTTCGTCATCGGCGCGAAAATCTGAGCCGCATCCATCAGCTGATAGCTCTCATTGGCTGTGTGATATCGAACATCAACAATTTCTGCCACTGGAAACGCCATTATATACTCTTAATTTATTAAAGAGCATTGACCAGGAGTCCAACAATAAAAGCGTTCGGTTCAATTCAATTCAATTGCCAGAAAAGATAGTCGCGCCTCTTAAAACTCCCGACGTATGCAGTTGGTTGGTAGGCACTTGATGGAGCGTTTGCTTGGAGACAATGTCTTCATAGGGTCGGTATTATAAAGAAGAAGATTAGGCACGTCAAAAAAATGTTTCCTTTTGCATTCGTGGGCCTCTTTGAATGAGATTGACTAATGTTTTGGACGCTTAGTTTGCATCAAAATGCCATCACCTAATATGATTGATTAGGAGAGTTTCATATTGATACTCCAAAGCATGATGTTTTTTATATTCTAGGCGAAATGCAGCCGTCGGATTAGTCGCAGATGGTTTCGATGGAGAGAAATAAATTTTGACGATCAAAAGCACGGTGAAAAATATCTGAATTCATCTCTTTTTTTTTTTGTTAATAACGTAAACATTTCAAGAAATTTTTGAGAAACTCTAAAAGGCGCGTTCGTGTGTATTTCTGCAGGAGAGGAAAGACGCTCACAGATATTGTGTGAACCTGTATCTTGGATATCCTTTTGTTATGATCTGAATAAATGGTGTGCACTCTTTAACTTCCATGGATTTCCCTTGGAAAGCAACAAAGCTAATTATTTAAAGATACGCGAATGGCCTTAGATTTGCATATTATTGATACAAAATTGAACATTCAATGTGTATGGAGAGAAAGGAGCGTGCATATGGGCTAATAGTTTTCTTGCACTTTAAGGCTGATGAGATATTGATGTCTTCGTTTTAGAAGGGGGAAAAAAATCATCCGAAGAGCCTCGCAGATTTGCAACCACACAACTCTAAATTCTCAACATGATAATCAAAATGAACAAAGCGGCGCAAATTTACGCATGATTCTCTACTCTAGCATTTTTCACAATTTTGTAAACCAACAAAAGCCATTGTCCACTTGCAAAGAAGAAAGAAAAACAGTTGACCAATGACAATCTTCGATTGTCCACTTACAAAGAATGTACAAGTATCTTCTCGTTATGCTGCTGCGCAGTGGAGATTACATAGTCCGGTAGTTTTAAAAGCCGATACTCCAGGATCCACATGATTATTGTGACATTCTATTTCACAGTGCAAACTTGCCGCGGCCATAGTACATTGATACATTGAATATATTGAACCTATTATACCACACCAAATTTTTTTTTTTTTTTTGATTCCACTATAATACAAGAACAAATGCTATAATGCTACTGCTCAGCAGCAAGAAAAACCAAGCAGAGTTTGTTTGATAAAATTGTACATAATTTTGCGTTCTAAAAATGCTTAAGAATACACCTATAAACAATTTAGCAGCCGCCAAACTGCCAAAGATGAAACTCATAAATATCACTACAAAATCCCTGTTCTCCATGTCCACCTGATGATCTCGAACTCTTTGAAACTCTGATCTGCAACATTAGGGGAAAAGGTATCAGCATGAATATAGCCTGCAAGTTAGAACCTAAAATTTATATACATCTGATTCATAATATTTGTGTGCGAGAGATTTTCGTGAAAGGATATATTTTCTTCCCCGTATAGTAACACAGAACTTCAATGGAAAAAGGATGTCAATGACCGAGGTGTAGATCCTGGAAGCACAAATATATGTTCAGTAAAAGTTGTCTAGGTTTATCAAGCTTGTTATGTACTGGTTAGGCTCCTACAATAAAAGGATAGGAGTCAAGTATGGTATTCGTAGATACTGTACATGTACAAAATAAGGAGTCCTATTCCTATCAGAACCGCCCACATACGAGCGGGCGGTTCTGGCCTTCGATGTGAAAAACAGAGGGGCAAGTTAAACAGGGGTGCAAATCGGTAATTTGCCCCCTCAATTAATAGGTCAGAACCACCCGCTGCATGCGGGTCGTCCTGACAAGATGTGTGGCCCAAAACAAGGGCGAAGACTCATCACCTGAAATGTTCATTCACTAATATGATGATAAGAATTCACATTCAGAGAGGGTTATATAGATTTGCTGAGCTATCAGGTCAGGAAAAAAAGTTGTCTGGTTTCAGGAACGGCAAGCCCATTGAAAAAGTTACGCAAATCGGAATAGTTAAACCAACACATAAAATTACTTGTTTAGCCTAGATTGTATATCCATCGGTCACATGATACTTGTACGTCTCACAATTCCTATTCATGGAAATACCAAAGTAAATGACATAGAAACTGTTTTAATTTCATGCTAATGTGCAATGCAACAGTCCTAAGCTTTGTTCTAATTTCAATCGAATTGAATCAAATATTTATGTCGATTGTTCAAGCTCCGCTATAATCTAGGAGGTGTCAGGAAGGAGAAAGCGCAACTCTTAAGGAAAAAATTAATGTGTTGCATCAAGCTCGAACTTACTGAAAGCATATGTTTGTTTCATTAGGATATTAAAACAAGTTGTCTCAAGCTATAATTCAATTGTTAATGAGCGAAGATTGAAAGATCTTGTTAAGCTTAATTTAAGGTCAAGCTAGCTGAAGGTGCTAACTATTACTACACCAACTTAGAAATGAAGCTTGACTTGTCTTGGAGTATTGGCAGAGCTGTTGCAATAAGAAAATAAGTACATTCAATCTACTAAATTCCAAACAAACAAGTCAAGAGTACCAGAAATAGCAATAGTGTAGATGTTATTATTTATTACTACTGAAACTTCAACATTAAGACAAATTCCATCCTTTTCAAGTTTCAACTGGTGGATGGCAGAATGGTCTGTGAATCTCTATGGAGATACAGCAAGCCATGAAGCCCAAAAATGCAACTGTTCTATGAAATTAAAGTAGCAATGGGCAGTAGTGATGAATATGACAATATTTTTCCTACCAAAAAACGAACCAACCCTAAACATAAAGGTGCTGTTGAAAGTCTAAATAGAAAGAAGGAACCGGAGCAATAAAATCAAGTATTATCCCATTTGGGTTGGTGGATTTTTTAAGCAACCTAATAAACCTATCATATTAAGTGTCATCCACTGTCATTGCTTGCCAATTCAAATCATTTCTCAAGATTACTATTCATAATATGGTATTTCCCCCCTATTACTGGTATAAGTCAACTGCCACGGCATAACAGTCCTTCCATGTAGATATGTCAATAGTAGTACTAGACTACAATCCTAGTCCATTCTCTATCATCTGTTTTATCATTAAAGCAACACCTAAAGGTCCTTTGATCAAGTAATTTCAGAAATTTCTAGGAGTTTTATTGATTACTGCAGATCAAACCCTTCTAACTCAACTGTGCATCTTGACCTGTAACTCAAAATTTTGAACTTCTGAAGGAAGTGGCTACCCAATATTGCAATCTACCCGTCATATTCTGAGTCCACTTCATTTTAAGATTGTACAATATTTCCACTTGCAAGACATCAGTGTATGAGAACAGGCATTATTGAAAGCTGGACCTCTTGGGTAAAGTGATCTCTGGAAACATCTAGATTCCCAAGAGTCAGATTTCCGCTACAATTCATCTTGATTGCCTGCATTCCTTTTATATTGCAGAAAAAATTTAAGAACTACAAAATTGTTGGAGGACTGAAAGCGTGAAGTAATCTCATAGTACCTGACACCTCAATGATACAAAATAAAGTAATTGTCCAGTTTGCAAAATTTCCTTAAGCTGCAAATATTTACAGCTTGCATGCCACAGAAAAGATATATCTATTTCTCCATGACTCCGTGCAAGCTTTAATCCTACCACAGATGTCCATCTATATGTCCACATATCATATCTTGGTCCCATGAAAAAATCAGTCAGGCCGCAGTACAAGAAAACTTATTATCATTTAGATACTATAGGTGAGGCTGAAGAAACAAGTATTTTTGTCTACGAGGAAAAAAAGTTGCAACAACTTAAACAACAATTCTGAACTAAATTTGCTAAGGAAATGGTTGCACATAGTAGCAATAAAGCAGCCCCAGGACTAAAGAACAACCTCTCCATTCT